ATATGTTTTAGAGCTGAGACAATGTAAGGCCCACTCTGTGTCCTCTTCCATCTTTCTTCTCCTGGTCTCTCTTTAGTTTTGTTTCCCCTGAGCCTATGGATGCTAATTAGCCACTAATTAAGATCAATTCTGTCCGTCCTTCATTTTTAAACTTTAACATCACCTCTTTTGTTTTATAAATTAAATTATAATTTTTTCATTGATGAAAATCTATTTTCTTTCCATACTACACCACCCCCATTAAGGAAAAAGAAAAAGAAAAAGAAAACCTTGTAACAAAGTACATAGTCAAGCAAAACAAATTCTGGCACTGGCAACATACAAAAATTATATCTCATTCTACACCAAGTCCATCACCTCTCTGTCAGGAGATAGGAAAACATGTTTTATCCTGGATCCTCTGGAATCACGGTTGGTCATTATATTTGTGATCAGAATTATTTGGTCTTTCAAAGTTTTGTCTTCAAAATATTGTTGTTATAGTATAAATTGTTCTCCCATTCTGCTCCTTCACTCTCTATCAATCCATACAGGTCTTCCCAGGTTTCTCTAAGCCCATTACCTTCATCACTTCTTATAGCACAATCATATTTCATGACATTGACATAACATAATTTGTTTGGCCATAATGTGTCCCCCTTTAGTTTCCAGTTTTTTGCTTACCCTTTTTTTTTCTAACATGTTTAGATTTGGTCATAGGATCATAGATTCAAAGCTAGAAGAAACCTTATGAGTGACAGAGTCCAATTCCCTCATTTTATAGATGGGGAAACAAGCTGAATGAAGTTGTGACTGGACCTGAGTTACACTGATAGTAGGTATCAAAGGCAGGATTTTAATTTAGGTCCTCCTGCATCCCACCTCAGCACTCTGTCCGCTTCACCATCAGGCTTTTTCCACAAGTCTCTTAATGACTCTAGCCCAAAGCCCTTTCACCTTCCCTTTTCTATCATTCAGATATAAGTCCCATTTTTCCAGCCTATCCTATGTTGTAGCTCCTACCTAATTCTGGCTCCTATTTTCATTATTCATTAAAAAGCTTTTCCAGAAAAGATTCATCCTTTTAATGGAGACAGAGGCCCAGTGTTCTACTTCCAATTCTTCCACTAGTTAGACTTTGGCCAAGTAAATTAATCGGTGTGCTCATCGATATTCTCATCTGTAAAAAAAGTAAGATTTGCAAGCACTTTATATATGCTGTCTCATTTGATCCTCACAACAACCCTGTGAGAGAGAGAGAGAGGGAAGCGGTGGGGGGGGGGAGAGAGAGAGAGAGAGAGAGAGAGAGAGAGAGAGAGAGAGAGAGAGAGAGAGAGAGAGAGAGAGAGAGAGAGAGAGAGACTGAGAGACTGTTGAAATCTTTGCCTGGCTCAGAGGATTTCTGTAGCCTTCTGTAGGTCACTAGACCTGAAAATAGACTTGGTAGTAGCAGGAATAGGCTGAGACCTCACTTGACCTAAGAACAGACCTGAAGGCAGCCAGTGAGATCAGGGCAGAGACATATAGACATGGGCTAGAGCAGCTTTTCCAGAATGAATGCTGACCAATGGGAAGCAGTAGAGGGGATTTGAATTAGGATAAATGCATGGAAAAGCTATATACTTTTTTATTTAATTTTCTTCTTTAAAAAATAAGTTTTTATTGATATCTTCTGTTTCTTAAATCATCATAGTTATCCTAAGTATCTCTCCCCATCTCTCTCCCAGAGGGCCATCCCATATAACAAATATAATTTTCTTAGAGAGGAAAAGAGATCAGCACAACTAGTTGATACAATTTTTTAAAAGTCCATTTGTAATATCTGGGCACCTCCTACCTCCATGAAGTACTGAGTTGGGAGTCTCCTTTTATATCCCTTCTTTCAAGTGTTGCTTGATCTTCATACTTTTTTACATTCATTTTTGATTTTTGTGTGTGTCATTTTTCTTTGTATTTACATTGTTGTAGTCACTGTGTATATTGTTTTCTTCACTCTGCTTACTCCACACTTCAACAGTTCATATAGATCTTTCCATGCTTCTCTGTATTCATTACATTCATCATTTCTTAAAACCCAATAATATTCCACTATATCCATGTACTATAATTTGTTCAGCCAATTTCCAATTAATGTGCATCTACTTTGTAATTCTTTGCTATCACAAAAATGCTGCTATATATATTTTGTATATGGGGACTTTCTTCTTATTAATGGCTTTCTTGGGGTATAAACCCAGTAATGGAGATGCTGGTTCAAAGAGTATGGACATTTAATTACTTTATTTGCATGATTCTAAATTGCTTTTAAAAATAATTGTCCCATTTCATAGCTCCTTCAAAGGTGAATTAGTGTGACTATCATTCTACAATCCCTCCAATTTTGCTTATTTTGCCAATCTTCAGGGTATGAGGTGAAACTTGAGGGTTGTTTTGATTTGTGTTTCTCTTATTATTAGTGATTTGTATCCTTCTTTAACACAATTGTGAATACTTTGATATTCTTTTGAGAATTGCTTGTTCATATCCTTTGACCCCACATCTATTAAGAGAATGGCTATTAGTTATACACACATGCATATTTATTACTTATTTATGTATTTTGAGTGCCAAATCCTTATCAGAGAAACTTGTTACAAAGATTTTTTTCCATTTGACCATTTCCCTAGGTACATTAATATTGTCTATGCAGAAGTTTTTCAGTTTCATATAATCAAAAGCTATCTATTCTCTTTTGTAGTTGTCTCTATTTCTTGATGGTTAAGAACACATCTCCCACCCATAACGGGGAGAGAGATATATGATCTGCTTCTTTTCTAATTTTTTTATAGTATAATCTTTAATATTAAGGTTGCATATCCACTTAGGATGTATTGTGGAATATGTTATAAGGTCTTGGTCTAAGCCTAATTTCTGCCACAGTGCTTTTAAGTTTTTCCAGCAGTTTTTTTATCAAATAAGTATTTTTTTCCTAGATAGTTTATTTTCCAATTTACCAAATACTGGATTGTTTGATTCTCTTGTTTTTGATTCATCCTTGTCTAGTTTGTTCCACTGATCAACCTCTCTCTTTTTTTTAAATAAATACCAGATGGTTTGGATGACTGCTGTTTTATAGTTTGAGGTCTGGAAGTGCTATTTCTTGCTTCATCCTTACATCTTTTCATCATTTTCCTTGATATTATAAATGTTTTGTTTTTCCAAATGAATTTTGTTATTTTTTTCAAGTTGGTATAGTATTTAAAGTATAAATTAATTTTAGTGGTATTGCTACCTTTATTATGTTGCCCTGGCCTAGCCACAAACATTGATTATGCCATCAGTTATTTAAGTTGGTCTTTATTTCTTTAAGGAGCATGTTGTAATTGAATCTAAGGAAGTCCTTTGTGTGCTCTGGTAGGTTGATCCCTAGTTATTGTATGCATTTTGTAGCTATTTAGAATAGAATTTTCCTTTCTACCATTGCTTCTTGTATTTTGTTATTATTACATAAAATAGTGTTGATTTTTGAGGATTTATTTTGTAGTCTACAAAATTGTAGCCTACAAGTTTGCTGAAGCTATTAATTTTCTCAATTAGTATTGTTACTGATTCTTTAGGATTTTCTAAGTAAACCACCCTATCATCAGCAGACAGGGATAGTTTTACCTACTCTTTACCAATCTTTATTCTTTTAATTTCTTTTTCTAGTCTTACTGCTATTGTTAGCATTTCCAGAACTATATCAGATAATACTGGGAAGAGCGACCATCCCTGCTTTACTGCCTATTTATTTGAAAAGGCTCTAATGTATTCCCGTTGCATATGATGCTTGCTTTTGGTTTTAGATAGCTGCTTTTTAATGACATTAAAATAGTTACCTCTATGCTTATACTTTTAAGGTTTCAGAATAAAAGGATGTTGTACTTTGTTAAAGCTATTTCTGCATCTATTGAGATGATAATGGGATTTTGGATGTTTTAGTTTCTAATATTGTTAATTATATTGATTGTTTTCCTAATGTTGAGCCATCCTTGCATCCCTGGTATAAATCCCACTTGGTCATAATGAATGATTTCTTGGATAAATTGCTGTAGTCTGTTTGATAAGATTTTGTTTAAAATTTTTGAGCCAGTATTAATTAATGATTTGGGCCTATAGTTTTTTTCTCTGTTTTATCTTTTCCTAGTTTAGGTATTAGGACTATATTTATCTAATAAAAAAAATCCAGGTAGGATGCTTTATTTCTCAATTTTTGAGAAAAAAATTATGAAGCCTGGATCTAATTGTTCTTTAAAAGTTTGATAGAATTCTCCTGTTAATTCATCAGCTCCTTTCTTTGGTAGCTCCTTTGGAGACAAATTTATTTCCTTTTTTGAAACTGGGTTATTTAAGATCTCTATCTGGCCTTCCAATATTTTGGGTGTTTCATATTTTTGGAGGTATTCTACATCTTTTGTGTTATCATTTTGTTAGCATATGATTGTATATCATATGTTCTGATTTTTTTTACTTCTTCAGGTTTTGTTGTGATTTTACCTTGCTCATCTGCTATTTTATTGATTTAATTAAAGGTTTATAAATTTTATTAGTCTTTTCAAAGAGCCAGCTTTTGGGTTTTTTAAATCATATCTATGGGATTTTTTTTGTTTCTAATTTGTCTATTTCACCTCTAATTTTTAATATTCTCTTTAGGAGTTCATTTTAGGTTTATTTATTTGTTGGCCTTCTAATTTTTAAAAGAATATGTATTGACTTCATTAATGCACTTTTTCTATTTTGTTAATGTATGTTTATAGGGATATAATTTTCCCTCTGAGGATTGCTTTAGCTGCATCCCAGAAATTTTGGCATGTTGTTTCATCATTTTCATTTTCTTTTACATAGTTATTAATTATTTCTATGATTTTTCTGCCCTATTCATTATTTAAGATTTTATTATTGTCTCCATTTGGATCTTCATCTTTTGTTTGTAGTGCCTGAACCAATAACTACTCTCATTACATTATGGTCTGCAAAGGGTGTATTAGATATTTCTGCCTTTTTACATTTGTCTGCAATTTCTCTGTGCCCTAAAAAATGCCCAGAGTTGGGAGATGAAACATCTTATTCAAGAAACAACAAGGAGGACAGTGTCATTGGATCACGGAATACAAAGTAAGGTGCTGCAGGTAAAGAGTAATAAGACTGCTAGACAATAAGGTTTTCTAATGGTTTGATTTTCTCAGGTTTTTGGGTGAGAGATCAAGAAATGGTCCATACTAATAGGAGAAACACCTGACAGGAGACATGGGTCTGTTATCCATGGGTTTTTGTGACAAATGGGTTATACTACAAGGACATATTCTCCAAATGCCCAATGAGAATACTCATCTGAAGTAGTTTTAACCTAAACTCTTTTAAAAAATCATTATACTTATATATTCTGCTTGAGAGAATATGCTTATTAACAAAAGCAATAATGACAACAATATTATTATTGCTTATATAATGCTTGCAAAGCAGTTGTTTTTATACATCATAACATTTGCTTACCTTTAGGAATTATATAAATGTCATACATTATTGTTATGATTGTCATATGGGTAGGCAGACAATGGACTTGCCTCCTCTACCTAGATTTTGCTCTGGCTTTAATAAATTTTCTTGCCAAGCCAGTCAGGCTTCTTAGGAATTTCTAACCTTAAATCAGATTTTTGTCTGGAACAAGGGATTATTATTCAGTATCAGATGTACAAGTCAAAAGTCCCATTTAAAAAAAAAATATGTCCAAATCAGTAAGAAAGCTTTATTCAGATAATTATTACCAGACACAGCAGAGAGGTCAGTTGGCTCACATAAGAAAAATCAATTAGCTAAGTAAACTCTTAACAAGTAATTTTCCCTCCAATATTTATACTATAAATTGAAGAGAAGTAAGCCAAGCACAGTCATGCTAGACCACAAAGTTATCTGAAGACAGACTTGGAAAGGACAATTGGTTGTGTTTAAGGAGAAGAAACACATATTTGATAAACTGTCACTAACCTCAGAGCTTAGAATAGGGTGGGCTCTGTTTAACTCAATGGACAGTCTTGAGAGAGAAATGGGGTAGCAGGAAAATCTAAACACAAAGAAGTGAATATGAATTCTATTATAATGAAATGGAGGCTAATTCATATTTTAAAATTATTTTAAAATTATGAACTTAAATACCTAAAAAGAGTACCTGTACACAACATAACACAAAAGAAGATAATATACAAAACCATGAATTTCCATGTAATATAATAAATTCCATGTTACTTTTAGAACTGTCCTGCATATCTGTTCTTTCTTCTAAATTTCCTTCTGTATTCTTCCATTCATTTATAAATATTTCGGTGGACCTCTTTTTTATTTTTATTTTGTCATTACAGTTACTATTCCTGCCTTCCATTTAAAAAAAAACTGGAAAAAACCCTCGTAACAAGTAAGCATAGTCAAGGAAGATGAATCTGTGGCCATCTCCACAAATTTATGGGGGTTTTTTCTGCATCTTAGGTTAATCATCTCCCTGAACAGAGGTGGGAAATATGTTCTATAATTCATTATAGTTCTTTGGAGACTTAGCTGGTCATTGCATTAATCACAATTCTTAAGTCTTTCAAAGTTGTTGGTTTTTTTTAAACAATGCTGTTGTCCTTGTATAAATTGTTCTCTGATTCAGTTTATTTCATTCTACAGCAGTTTATACTATCCAGGATACTCTAAGATTGTCTTTATTTATTTCTTTGGCACAGTGATATTCACTTACATTCATATTCACAATTTGTTCAATCATTCCTTGTTTGATGAATACCGACTCAGATTCTAGTTCTTTTCTCTTTTAACCCCCTCCCCCCATTATAATCAGGATGTTTGGCTTGTAACCATTCCATTTCCTGAGATTATCCTCCGTCTTAACTCTCTCCCCAATCCTCACTTGTTTCCCTGTTGAATTTGATGTATTTTTATACCAAACTATTTTAGTGGATATGTTCAATTTTTTTTTGTCCTTTTCAGATAAGAGTGAGACTCATCTGATGCTCACTCCTTCTACTCCTTCATCCAAACTTGTGTATTCTTCTTTTCATGTACCTCAAATATGAGAATTAGCAAGTTACACTTACCTTTAGCGTATTCCTTTTTCTCTCTCTTTTTCCCCTAAAATTCTCAGAACACAACCAGTCCACCTAAGGGTTATCTATTTTTTTTCTTATTTAACTCCTTCAATACCTGTAAAGATGCTAGGATCTTGAAAGGACACTGGTTACTTTTCTCTCTATTAGAACACAAGTGCTACAGCATCATATAGTCCCTTCTAGTTACTAAAATAAGTTTACCTTTCTAGGTTTCTCTTGCATTTTTAAATTTACTACTCAGTTCTGATCTTTTCATCAGAAATGCTTGAAAATCCTCTTCCATTAAAGGTTCATTTTCCCCCTAAAAGATTATATTCAGCTTTGTAGCGTAAGATATTCTTGTTTGTAAGCCCCTATCTTTTGCATTCTGGGATATTGTATTCCAAGATCTCCTCTGGTTTATAGTAGAAACTACCAGGTCTTGTGTGATCTTGACTGTTGTTTCTTGGTACTTAAACTACTTTTTTCAGTATGCTTGCTGTATTTTTCCCTAATATAGGAGCTCAGTACTTTATTTGTGTCATTCCTTAGACATATCCTTTTGGGATTCTTTTCAGGAGGTAATTGATGGATTCTTTCTATCTTCACTTCGTCCTCCAGTTCTAGTAGATCTCAGCAGTTCTCATTTATGATTTCTTGAAATATAGTGTTCAGGCTTCTTTTTCTTCCTTTTAAATTCTGATTTTCAGGTTTTGAGTCTAATAATTCTTACCATAGTCCCTCAAACAACTGGTTTTCCTGGTCAGCTATTTTTTATATCATATATCATAGTTTTCTTCAATTTTTCAATCTTTTCATTTTGTTTTAATATTTCTTGATTTTCTTGATATCTCACAGCATCTTTGTTTTCTATTTGGTCTGTTCTGTCTTTAGGAGTCTCTCTTAACTGGTGAAAGTTTATCAATTTCTCTTCTAAATCTATTTGCTCTCCTTCCTTTCTCCAGAGCTTTTATTTCATTTTTAAAAATCTTTTACCTCATTTCTTCTAAATATTCATTTAGAATATTCATTCATTTACTGACATCTTCTGTTCCTACAGTGTTAGAGATATAAGTTGCCCTTTCATATGAGTACCTCAAATACGTGTGTTTCCTACATGTATGCACCCATATAGGATACCAATTTTTGTCCAATCCACTAACTGATGGTGGCATGCCAAGTGTTATATATGGGCTCTGCTCATAGCAGCTGCTCAGTGAATGCCCATTATAATAATGAATGAATCAACCAGATTCATCAAATTTACTGAAAGGGACTTTAGAGAGCATTTTGTCCAACTTTCTCAATTTTCTGATGTCAAAACTGAGGCCCATATTGTGATTTTATTCAATCATTCTTAAAGAAAGAATGCAGGCCCTGGTGTTGCATTACACATCTGGTCCTACAGGAAGCTCTCATCCCAGTTTTCAATCAATCAGTCAAGAAGTATTTATTGAGCACCTGGCTGGCTGTAACCTGAAGCCCAGAGGAGGGGTGGGGCTGAGGAAAACTATTGCAAGCTCTTCTCCCTCCCCTCAAGGAAACTATAGCACAAAACCCACTGATAATTCCTGCTATGAAGGCCCTAGAGAGAGAGGGAAATGCTGCGGACCCTGTCAAGGATGTCGCCCAGTCACTTTGGGGTCAGTCACAGAGAATCTAGAAGGAATTCTCTGCTGTTTCAAGAGAGCCGGTTAAGAAAATCATATACCCTATAATAACAAGGTCACAAGGCCCTGATTCTGAGAACCCTTGGCTCCTGAGAGGAAAAGGTAAAAAATTCAAGTCCCCTTTTGGAAAAGTCATTAGAATTTTTTTTTTGTATTACCAATGAAGACTGTTTACTCTGAGCAAATATGGCCCCAAATCTGTAGCAGGAAAAGCTGACTCTGCTAGTCTGTGCACACTGGAGTGGAGGCTATTATTGGTGCCCTGGAGGGTAGCATATAAGTAGAGAGTGTCTACACCCAAGAGACTCTGAAATTCAATTTCCTCTCCAGAGAACTGTTTAATAGCCTGCACACCAGCTGGAGATTACCTCCTCAATAGTTAGGGGGCTGGCAGCAAGCACTGAAGAGTTCTTAAGGAGCAGCTGGAAAAGTCCTCCCCTGACACCTTTCTCCTCTTCATACAGAGTAAAGCTTTAGGGTAGATCTCTTTATGTGCTTTCGTCCCGATAAGTAGTCACTATCCAAACCCTACAAAGCCCTCCAAGAAATACATTGGAGATGGTATAAATGCCTATGAAAGCTTCCAAAGCAAATATGAAAATGGAGGGAAGATTCTATCTCAAAACATGCCCCTATGGGATCTCTGGTTACTCCTTTCAACATCCCAAGAAGACCTTAGAGCATTGTTTTGTACAATCGATGGGAGCTGAGTTTACCTAGGGCTAATGATCATTAATCTTAGCCCAGAGTCCACTCATGCATTAGAGAGTTCCCTCAAAATTCAAATCTTTGTGTCCTCATATGTCTCATCATTCTTGTCACATTCTGGTAATTTGACTATGTCCTATTCCTGATAGAATAACCTTTTCTTTTTGCTTACTGCACATAAATTGTATTTGCCCTCTTTCTAAAATGAGAATGGTAAAGAGGTAAAATTTACTAATCTGCTCCCTCTATTACTCTAAGGTACATATCAACATAAGGTATATATCATCTTAAAAAAAACAGTAGCATGAGGTCAACGGGCAGAGGGTCTGGTGCTTCAAGGACAAGGTGTTAGAATGGCGTCCAGAGAAAGAACAAACCATCAGAAATCTGTACTTCAGCAGACAGGAGGCCACACAGTGGTGAAAAGGGTAGGTATCTGTCCTTGAGTGAAAGGAAACCTGGAATGCTGTCCAGAGGCCATCAGGACCCAATGGGGAATAATATGTTTGCATTATAGACTTAAGATAAAAATAGCTGGAGTCAGAGTTAAACCTTTGCCTCCACATGCTGCTAACTTAAGGGAATAAAACAACATGGATTTACTTATCATATAGCTTGTTGTCTCTTTAACCAACTTTCAGGTTGACAGTAATGGTGCTGTGACATTGGATGGAACTAAAGGAATGGCAGAAAACTCCAGCCCACCCTGGCAATGCTTATGGCTCTGGCTCAGGCTCAGGCATATGTTTTTCCTGGAGTCCTAACCTTGGTGGACTACTACGGAGGTGTTTTGCATGACTACACATCTATAGCCTTTATCTAGATGCTCACCTTTTCAATGAGGGTGGGTGGGGAGGGAGGAAGGGAGAAAATGTGTAACCCAAAGTTTTAAAAACATGTGTTAAAAATAAAAAAAAATTTAAAGATAAAAATAGCTGGCACATATACATATATGTGTGTCTTTAAGGTTTGCAAAGTGTTTTATACATACTGTCTCATTTGGTCCTTACAACAAACCTGGGTTCTATTATTATTTCCATTTTACAGATGAGGAAATAGAGCTTAAGAGACGTTAAGTGATTTGCCCAGGGATCACACATCTGTTAAGTGTCTGAGGTAGGATTTGAACTCAGGTTTTCCCAATTCTAGGCCCATCACTCTACTCACTAGCCACTTAACTGTCTCATATCTCTTCTATGCAGACAGTTCACCATAGATAATATTAACCCATAGATATAGAACTAGAAGAGATTTCAGATGCTCTCGTTTGGTATACAGGGTGCTCCAAAAGCCTTAGTGCAATTTTTTAAGCTCTAAAGCTTAAAACATTTAAGCTACACAGTTTTTAAAAATGGCACCAAGACTTTTGGGACAGCTGTATCCACATACCTAGCATTTAGTAAGTCAGACAGTGTTCAATAACCCTAAGCTGTCTGTAGCTAGCATCTTCTCAGGAATTAGATGAATAGAGGCTAGGAGTAAGGCCCTATAGTAAAAGGCCATGGGTAGCAAAGAAAAAATTTACCTCCTTTGCAATTTTGCTGAGATTGGTTTCATGTCTCATCTGGAGGCAATTTTGAATTTTGGAGGAGGAAGCAAAAAGTTATCTTAAATAAGGAGCCCACTCTGACATTTCTCACTTGCTCAATTACTTTAGTTTTTGTTTGTTTGGTTTTTTTGTGAGGCAATTGGGGTTAAGTGACTTGCCCAGAGTCACACACCTAGTGAGTATTATATGTCTGAGACCAGATTTGAACTCAGGTCCTCCTGACTCTAGGGCTGGTGCTCAATCCAGTGCACCACCTAGCTGCCCTCCTCTTTAGTATTTTTAATGATAGCCTCTGACACTCCCTACAAAGAATAAAAGAATCAGGGTACCATTAGCCCATAGCAAGAATCTCACTGCACTTCAGAAAACCCTGTACCATGCTAAAAGCTGACCAAAGCAGCCTTTGTGAAAGCAGAAGTGGATTATTTTTCAGTAAGTGCCAACCTCTGTCCCACCATAATGTTTTTAGAAATGCTTACCCCAACTTACAAATTTCCCCCTGCGTTTCCAGTACATGAACCAGGGTGGTTCTGGAGACTGCAGAGTTCTCCAGACTGTCCCAATGGGCTCAGAGAGGATAATAGTGAAGGGAAATGAGGGAGGAGCCTTTCTGTGCTTTTGTACCTGAACTAGGAAAATCCTAGAGCAATAGTTTAGTTCTGGTGAAGGTCTCATGGTTGTTTTTATTTGTTTGTTTTCCAAAGCAATTGGGGTTAAGTGATTTGCCCAGGGTCACACAGCTAGAAAATGTCAAGTGTCTGAGTCCAGATTTGAACTCAGATCCTCCTGACTCTAGGGCCAGGGCTCTATCACTGTGCCATCTATTTGCCCCAGGTTTCATATCAATTTAATAGATGCCAGGCATATTTGGGGTTAACTAGAGCTCACATGGAGTAGCTCAAAATCTCTAAGCCCCAGAGACAACCTCTCAACAAACCCAAGCTTGGTTATGGCTTTGCAGGCCCCAGTCAGACTTGATGGGTCAGCATGAAATAAATTACCACTAAGGTCAGGTTATCTAAAGCCACTCTGATATCTAGAATGTGATTCAATTTGCCAGTATATGATTACTTCCTCAGCAAACGTCCGGGGGGGGCAGGAAATCCACTTTGCTTTTTCTTACATTTATTAGCAATTCAGGAAGAGAATATATTCTTGTCCCTTACACCTGGAAAATATTAGTTACATGTTTTTCATGGTGTTACAAATGAACCAATTAATTAGACTTAGGTTAACTTTGTAACAAAAAAACCTAAGCAACTGAAAACTGAAGGGCCTGAAGCCAAATGTAACAGACATGGCCAACTTGTTGGAAAGAACTCTATTTCCCATTGTGCCAAAAGCACACTGGAAGAAAAACGGAAACTTCAGTTCCCACAGGGAACTGACCGAGATGTGGGGCTATTGTCGGGAGCGTGGGGGTAGCTTGAGCCCAAGTGGTGGAGGAGGCAGAGGGTGAGGTTGAGTAAAGAGGTGGAGAAAATGGAGTAGTAGTTTTTTGTTGTTAGATTGGACATGGATCAAGGAGACAAGGCATCCTGTCTGTGAAAAAGTTGCGAAACTGTGGCTGCAAGTTGGGAGCTGCTTTGAAGATAGCAGGACCAGAACACAGGTTAGGCAGACTAGACATTGACTCAGCTCTTCAGTGAGTGAGGTCAAGCCAAACCGGAAACAAAATCAGTCTGCTGAGCTTTTTGTCTATACCTCACCCCAAGGATAGAGCACAAGGCTTGTTTTCCAAACTATTCCAGGGGCTGAAAAAGAGTGTGATGGTATTCAGTTGAGAACATGTGCTCATATCATTTTCTTGCTACTTTTCTATTCCTTTCTGTCCTGATTGGGTTTTTTTTTCCATTTTATTTATTTTATTCTAAATTTAAGAAACAAAATAAGCATTTCCATAAGATAGTAGAATAGAAAAAAAGATGATTGTACATGAAACTGCAAATCTACTGTACAACTTGCTATTCCTTTTAAATATATCAAGTTATCATGCAACTTTCTTTCCCCCCCTCTTTTCTTCCTTTTCTGCCCCTTCTGCCCTAGAGATGGACTGATTAAGTATTTTACTATTTCAATGCTATTTTTGCCTGAGTCCCTCAGTATGATAAGCCCTGAAACCTACACCTGAGTTAACCTCATATATATCTTATTTGTTTTTTTTTAAGTAGGTGAGAAAGCAAACAAGCCAGAGAGACAAGATACCATTTAAAAGTCACCATATTTTGAACCTAAGTCCAAGAGAATCTACATCAGGGGTTTTTAACCTGGGGTCCATGAATTTTAAAAAATTGCTTTATAATTTTTTTCAAACAAGTTGATTTTTTTTTTTGCAATACTATGTATTTTCTTTTATGCATTTAAAAGTATTTTTCTAAGAAAAGTTCCTTAGGCTTCAACTGACAAAGTGTTCCTGACACAAAAAAAGTTAATAACCTGCTCTGGATCATGTTGGAACACGACACTGCACAAATATTTACTTCATTAAACTTGCAATAGAATTTTGGTGAAGAAGTTCTGTCATCTTTCCCTACTTCAATCAGAAATAGGATCTGTTTGCGGGCCTCAGTCTTTTCCCGGCCACAGTCAAATTTATGAGCCCAAAGCCACCCATTGCCAGCAAGCAGAATTGAACAAAAGCAAGAACCCAGGGCAAGCATCTCCTGGATCGGAGTTAAACAACTCAGCTTTCAATGCAAGGCTTTCTGAATTCTCAGGACCTGCCACTAGTGGATTTTACCCCTTTGCTTGCACAGACATGGGCTAAGGAGTATCTTTTAGACTACTCTTATTTAGCTGAATTTCTAAATCTAGTCCTTTTCATAGGGAGAAATTAGATTAGGAGGGAGATGGGGATTAAGGGAGGAGGCAATTAATACCCTCCCTCTGAGAAGCTACTTAAAGTCTTGTCAGAAGACAGAGAAAATCAGGAATAACAGAATCACAGAATCTGAGTTGGGAGAGACCTCACTGCCAGCTGGGCCAACCCATACACGAAAGGAATCCCAACCATATCAAGACAGAGAAGCGGTCATTGAGCCTCCACTTGAAAACATCCGAAGAGGGGGAACCCATCCCCTCTCAAGGCAAGTTTTGATACTTTTTTTTTGTCTAGGCAATGGGGTTAAGTGACTTGCCCAGGGTCACACAGCTAGTAAGTGTTATGTGTCTGAGGCCAGATTTGAACTCAGGTCCTCCTGAATCCAGGGCTGGTGCTCTATACACTGCACCACCTTGCTGCCCCCAAGTTTTGATACTTTTGGACAACTAATTGGTAAGAATTTTTTTTCTGAGCTCTTAGGTACCAAAAGTATGGGTGTGTGTGTGTGTACATACACACATATACATGTGTATGTGTACAAAGATGTGTGCATGTGCATATTTTAAAGAAAACACATATACATATATATGTATGTATACATATGTGCATATATTTATTTTAAACCGAAAATAATCAGAATTGGATTAGGTTTTATTATTTACCAAGAAAGCAGGATGGTGAGGTAGATAGAAAAAGCTGGCCTTGGATCCAGAAAGACCTGGGTTCAGGTCCTGCTCCTGTTACACATTGGCTGTGTGACTCTGGGCAACCCACTTAACCTCATATATGAGATTATAATTCAATTAATCAACAAACATTTATTAAGTGTTTACCATGTGCCAGGCACCGTGTGAAGTACTGGGGATACAAAAATATGCAAAAGACAATCCCTGCCCTCAAGAAGCTTATAATCAAATGGGTAGACAACATGCAAACACATATATACAAAGCAAGCTATACATAAGGCAAATGGGAAATAATTAACATAGATAAGGCACTAGAAATAAGAGGGAAGGCTTCCAGTAAAAGATGGACTTTTAGTTGAGACTTAAAGGCAGTTTCAAAGGCAGTTGCCGAGATGATGCCAATTTGCATCAGTAGAGGGAGTTTCCTCATGTGGGAAGTCTCTATATCAGTGAAATCCTGTGTTCAGTCCCCCTCCATATTTACCAGTTGATGATTGTGACAAAGGTTCTGCATATTCTGATTTTTGCAAATCTTACTCCAATTTGTGAATTACTTCCTCTTTTGTGTGGTGAGTAGTAATGTGTTATTCTTTTAATAAAAAAATCATTTCCTTTCTATCATTGGATCATAGTCCTGATTTTT